TTTGTTTATTAATCATAAAGCACATGATTAATAATAAGCAATATAGTGGTGCGTTTTTTTTGGAAGCCACTGTATGTTTGTTTTATTAAGATAAAAATATTAGTTTCTTAATCGTGATAATTTTTTTGCGTTGATTGCTTCTGAGTACCGGCCTACCCTTCTTTTCTTTCTATGATCAATTAACGCACCACGTGTCATAACTATATTTATGTATAACTTGTTAGTATCAGTCGTATCACGTGCAAATAAAAAATGTATGAAAGTACTTACTGCCCATTTTATTACCGCCTCATATAACCACGCAAAGTTGGGCATATCAGCCCAATCCCTGGGTAGGCCGAAATTATCGACTTCGAACAATCTGTGTGTGCCTAAAAAGTTGAATAATGTTAATTTCTAGGTTTTGTGCAATATTTCAAGTTTACATAGTTAACGAAACCTCAGTTTTGAACGCAGTAATTCCATATGTTCTCAAGTCCGTAAATAGTTGTCGACGAGCATCAGCCTCTGAAATGACAATATTATTATAAAGTTCTACCATACTTTTGCGTTTTTTACATCATCATCAACACTTTTTTGTTGTGATGCTCCAGGCCTCGCTCCTTCACCACAGACAATGGGATAATTGATAGCATCATTAAGAAATCCTACACCGTCCGCACGTACTTTAGTTTTCATACCTTTCAAAGGTATTTCTCCGCTGAACAATGCAAAGCACCTTTAGTCATCAATGCAATCTATGCAATAAATGAAAGTTCAAAGTCACTTACTATATATAATTAACTTTCGCAAAGATCCACAATGCCGAGTCTATAATTAGGTGTACGAACTGATTCAAGTGCGGTTTCTCTAAAATAGTTATGTCTTTCAATGGGTTAAGAGTAGTTAATGAAAATGCCTTTAAACTATAAAATAATAAATTGGTTAGAATTTATCTCAATAAATTACAATGAAATTTTCCTACTTACAACTTTGGCAATGTTTCCTTCATTAGTTTTTTTGTATTCATTAAAATATCTGAATCGGTATTACTAATGATTGTATTGTTGATAGCATCATCCAACCTCGAGCACTATGATCTTCATTGAAAAAATTTGTAAGATATTCGTGGATTTCGTTTGTTATATAGTTGTTGTCAATATAATCAAATATTTCGTGTAAAACTTCTTTTTGAAGGTCAGGGTTCAGAGATAGTGAAAGCTTTGATTTTGGACGTAAATCCATAATCGGCATTTTAGGGAAGTTTTTAAAAAATAAATCGGTGAGTTCTTTTTCAACTTTTGATGCTATCATCGTGTCTTCTAGGATACTCTTCACACATATCGTCTATACAAATGAACAAAAATCGTCTTGTTACTAAATCACTAACGGAAAACATCAACAGAATAAATTATACCAACATTCTCATTTTCATCTTCGGCTTTAATTTCCTGATCTTGATCAACGTTTAAATTTTTTTCACAACCTTCCCATGAACTTGTTTCATTATTGTTAAAACACTGTAAATCGAGGATATTCATGATTAATCCATATCTGATGATTAAAGATAAGATGATGACGCTTTTATTTTACCGTTCTGGGTGATATTGATGCACCATCTTCATTTGTCGCACTAATCATTGAAGATTGCGGTTCAACTAGACCTCTCTATAAGGACAGGTAATAGTAGGAAAGACTGATTAAGACTACAAGTGTCAGGTTGACTCATTCCTCCTGTCTCTTACCTCATTTGTTAATCCTGCCATTCTCTGAGATGAAAAGTTACAATGTAATATATCTGTTTCTAATTGCCGTACTCTTTCTGCGAACTGTAAAACGAAATTACGCTCATAGAATTTATTATACCACCGCATGCAACTTTCTAGGACCGAAACACCTTCAAAGCTATTAGTTACGTTAAGTAGTTCGATACATAGTGAAGATACACAGCCCGGAATTCCTTTATAGTTTGTTTCCCTAATGTTTTTAAGCGATTGTAACCAATCTACATAAATTTGTACCCAAGGTATGATTACTCTTTCATTTCTAAGACGATAGTTAAGGTAATGCTTAAGTTGCCAGTACTGAGCTTCGACTTTTTTAAAGTATTCATTTACAATCGTTTCTTCGCCAATATTGTCGGGCAATGTATAGTGCATGTATTTTGTTGTTCTTAAAGTTGCTGTCATATTAAGAATTTATAATTAAGGTAAAGCGGATCAAGTTACGCGAGAAATAAATTTATTACGCGTTACGCGATAATTTTTTAACTATCTCCATGCCATATTTTGATTGGCCGTTTTTTTGTCGATCACTGAATTTTATAATAGTCGCATGCTCGCTTTTTTTTCGATATTATACTTGAGGATGCAACTATGCTGAAGTTTCTCGTGACGGCCGGTCAATCGGCGGTGAGAACTTCCCTTTGTATCTTTTAGATACCTAGGAAAAGCCATACTTCATGTCGGCCGGTCAATCGGCGGTGAAGTACTGAGTTGCTTGGTGTCTAACAACTGCTCGCGTCGGCCGGTCAATCGGCGGTAGCAGTTGATCCACTGATTTTGCCGAAGTTTCTTGTGTCGGCCGGTCAATCGGCGGTGAGAACTTCCCTTTGTATCTTTTGATACGTAGGAGAAGCCATACTTCATGTCGGCCGGTCAATCGGCGGTGAACTTATGAGTCAGTGGATATTCAAGTTATCTCTTGATAGTCGCCAGCCATTCTCGATCATATTTAATTAATAACATACACTTTAAAATGTATACATACACGATTGATCCGAGTGAAAACTTTATTACGAGAAAAAGATAAGTGATAATATATTATATGGTGCGAAAATGTTAGAGAAGCAAATGAAGTGTATGATGCTATCAAAGAGGGAGGGAGTACGCGGATCCTAGGCCATTTAATGCGAGTCCCAGCATCAATTATTTCTTTGCTCTTTCACGTTTACAAAAAATATCTATAGCTAATTTGTCTCTACTAACTACAAGATTCTCACCCCACACTCTTTTACTACACTAGATTTCCGAAATAAATTATCCCACCCATATTTACAGAATTTTTGTCTATCTATATCTCTCTCAAACATATAGATTATATAAAACATTATTCTTCGAAAGAGAACTTCTCTGAAATTAAGAAATGGCAACAAAGACAAGAAGGCCAAGGAGAGAATGAAGTTGGAGAAAAAGTTGATTGATAATTTTATTTCGAGATTTAAGGCAATAAATGCGGATAACAAATGGAAACTTCCTTCGGGTAGATTTGTAGAAGATGTCTTATATGATTGGACAGTGACTCACCATTCTGAAACGTAGATATACTGCATCCATTGCATTGATCATATTGGTTACTAAATATATGTGTAATGACTAATCATTTCTTTGTCTAAATATTTCATTAAGACTTGCACATTCTTTTATATTAGACACTGATTGTCAAGAAGTTATGGATCTGTTTAGTCCCGAGGAAAAGGAGACAATTTTAAATACTAATAAAAAGTCTTTTCCGGCCGTACAAGATGATATTAAAAATATGTCATGAAATATTACAAGGTATTCTGTTTGATAAAGGTTGTCCGAATTGAGACATTTGTTCATAAATCTTCTAAATCTCTATAGAAAAATGTCAGCGATCTTCGACAAATCGTCATGGAACCATATTTGGAAAACATGGAGACCTATAATCCAAAGTTACATTATGATCTGGAGTGGATTCACTTAGTATTCAATAAATTGTGAGTTAACTCTCATCATTATATAATATTTTTAATTCGCGACTGATTTCTTCTCTTTATTGATATAGTGTTAATGAATGGGAACAAGGCGTGAATGCGTTAGCAGACGATAATTTGGAAGCATGGATTGTGAGTCATATATGGACTTTTATTGTCGATATGGCATTAAAGGACATTGAAGAAACAAAAATTGGAAAGTATGTCGTCAGTGTTCAAACAAAATTTGTTATAATATTCTTATAATATTAGTGATTAAGTCCATATTTTTCATTTTTATAGATCAGAGGGCGGTTCGTATGCATCGAAAATGCGTAAAAACAAAAAAAGAAAAATTGGAAAATCCGTTATTCGTGTAATGAACCTTTAAAACTGCAATATTGTGCATGTAGATAGTTCGAATTAATTAATTAATTTCTTTTTTTAATAATAATAGGGCAGGAAGATTGACATATTACTAAAACTTCGTAATAGTTCAAGAGAAATACTAGCTGGTGAGGTCGCTAGAACAGGAGATATTCACGATAGAAAATATTTAGGAGATAGAATGAAACTATTAAAACTTATGAAAGATATGTTCGATTTAATGATTGAATCACTTCCACCAACCACAATCGAAAATTACGAGAGTCTTTGTACATTTGGAATACAACTTTTCAGTAAGTGAACGTTATATATATATTATATGATACATTGTCATTAATTTTATAATTACATAGAAAATAAAGGCACTATCTACATTATGGATTGCCCCGGAGGAGTTATTGCGCGATTAACTAAGAAAGCACAATTGTAAAGCTCCTATATATATTGAAGGCATTTGCGAATTAATTTTGTCTATAGTTACAATGTTGGAATTGAAGGTAATACCTTAGTGTTGAGCTGTATATTTCTAATACCTTTGTATTTATCTGCTTTGATATTTTTCTGTTATCTTGTAGAATGCAATTCGAGAGATCTTCCATATAATTGAGAAAATAGAAAGCGACGAATTAGAGGCCCAAGTCTTTCAAAGAAATAATACAGGTTCTCGATGGGAACTACACTAACTCCTCGGACCTCACTTGTAAACAAAAAGGTCATGTAACAATTGCGTGAACACGCTGATTTTAAAAATCGCATTTTAATAAACTTCACTTTTTCATAGAATAACTATATGTATTTTATAATACCAAACATGTTGCAAAATAATCCAGTTTCATTGAGACTTCTGTGACAAATGATCTCTGTATTGTGATCAGCTAAATAAAATCATGTGCACATGAAGAATTCTTCATGCCAATTACTTTCACCAAGAGAAATTCTTGATCACTTTTTTTATTTAACAAAAATAATACAGTATTGCTGTATACATGTAAAATACAGGGAATTATCTATTTGTTATTTTTTGGTAATTTTTTCTTGTATGTGACATCTCTTGCTTTTGGGTTCATCATATACAGTGTGTTGCAAAAAAAACCAGAATTACTATTTTTGTATTTATTTGATAAATATCTATTCAAATGATACAAAAGTTTAAAGATAAGTACTTAAAAATCTAATAAAAATTATTTAATTAGAATCATTTGATAGCTTACTTTAATAAAATATTTTGTAATTTACATTTTAAATACAAATTTTGTTTTAAAAAAATTTATTATAAAGTCAAAAATATTTTATTTATTAATTAATAATTTAATATATTATAAACATTAAAATTAAA